TAAAGTCTACCTAAATCAAAGAATGCAAAGACCAGAGCAATACGTGCCACAGGTGATCCAGTGCTCTCGTTGCCAAAAAGCATGGCACTCCCGGGCCACTTGTGTGAGCGAACATGAAGTATGCCGATACTGTTCACAACCCCATGCCTTCAACAATTGCCCGCTGGCAAAGCTGGACACAGACTTTAGGTCTCCCAATCTGAACAGGAAGTGCGCAAACTGCTACGGCCAGCACAGCACCAGGTACCTGGGATGCCCTTATCTACAACAATGCAGAGAAATAGCAACCACGGCCATACGGGAAAAGATTCCATACCATGAGGCCCGCAGAAGACACGAAGCAACCCAAGGCATAACTGCAGCCATTACCACCAAATTGAGCAACGAGGTAGCTCAACTCAAAAGTGACATCCAAGCTCTCAGAGACGAGAAAGACGCATCCAAATCCCAACGAGATGAAGACAGAGATGAAATAACAGGCCTGAGAGCTATAATGCAGGCGACTCTTGACACCCAGAAACGGATGACAGCAGAGATGACGAAATTCAAGGAGGACATCATGAATGCACTGGCCACTATCCAGACACAAAAGGAACAACCAACTAAAACAAGGGAAGACGAGGCGGGCATCAATGATCTGCGGGATAACCAACAACTTCTCGCGAAAGAAGTCGCAATGATCAAGAAGGCACTAGCTGAAACAGAGGAGAAGTTACGAAGAGCATACGAAGAAAACAACAGACTTAATAAGGAACTGCAAGCAACCAACAGAGTGATGGAAGAAAGAGAGAAAGCACGGAAAGAGGCAACAAGAAGGCAGCAAATACAGGGAGCCGAGACCCAGAAAAAGCCGCATCAAACACCAGATAAGAAAACTCCAACTCCAACGACGCTGATGAAACAGTTTCCGGTGGCAACTGCTGACCAAATAAACCAACGCATCATGGAACTGGAGGACCCGAACTTCTTTAACTCAGAACTGCAAGATGATGATGTTCTTTGGTCATCACCAGAGGAACCATATCGACAGCCAAAACCTGAAATCAAACGAGGTCGACACCGTTACCCCAAACACTAATACCAGATACGACGCAACCAAGGCCAAAATTACCGAAACCCTATGTAGGAGCAGTACTTTACAACAAGGATACGAGAAAATCACCAAATAAACCAGACCTCACCAGTATTGTCATCAGTACCTGACCAAGTCAATCGACCGCCGGTCCTTATTAGGATAGGCAATTTACTTTCCCCATAAACAACAAACAGCCAAAGAATGCCACAATAAATCGATTCAACATCCAATCATCTTGAGCGTAGCACAGGGCCAGCCAAATTACAAAAGCAACAGCAAGAGCGGAAACCACAACAAATAGAAAGCAACAATATTGAACACAATCCAAAATCAAATGAGATCGAGACCAGAAAACGTCACCACAAATATAGCTGAAAGGAAAGTGAGCAGAAATGTGAGCGGACCTAGCTGAAAGTGGTCAACGAAAGAGAATTTGAATTTGAATCCTCATCCTCGTCGCTTCGCTCTTTAGAATTTGGGTACGCAGCTAGCTTTGTAGTACTAGTAACCACGGCCATCTTTAAATATAAATGGAGATGGTCGTGCTAGTAACTATTACTTTCGTACGTTTCTACTTGAATGGCTTGAGTATGCCAAGAGTGTTATTTTCCTTAAGTTTGAGATGTAAGCCGAGTGGCGTATCTGTAATATATAGTAAAAACTAATAATAAATAGCACAATATTATTTCTGTGGCAATGGAAGTGCAAGTGGCGACTGACACCGTGACACGCACGCTTGGCCACTGGTGTAAATCCCGCCCTTCTGTGTTAAATAGAGTCGGCCGTGGTGTAAATAAACAAAACCAGATCCGGGTATTATCCATAAATGTTGTATGAAAGTGCTGATTCATACCAGGTGGTGTTGATATCCGGGTTACTTTTTCATGTATCATGCAAATCTCTAGTCCTACAGTTCACTTTAGCATATCTCCATGCGTACATGCGCCCTGCCTCCCCCCTCCTTTTCCCACCCAATTATTGAACTTTTTTTTCTGTTACAAGCGGATTAATTTGAAACATCAGTCCAGTCCAGTGACTCTTGCGATACGTCTCGACTTGAAACGACTTTAACTAAAATAGGAGGAGAAGAAGAAGAAGAAGAAAAAGAAGAAGAAGAAGAAGAAAAGAAGAAGAAAAAGAAGAAGAAAAAGAAGAGATAGAAGAAGAAAAAGAAGAATAAGGAGGAGAAAAAGAAGAAGAAGAAGGAGGAGGAGAAAAAGGAGAAGAAGAAGGAGAAGAGGAAGAAGAAGAGGAAGAAGAAGAGGAAGAAGATGAAAAAGAAGGAGAAGAAGAAGAAGTAGAAGGAGGAGGAACAAGAAGAAGAAGAAAGAGAAGAAGAAAAAGAAGGAGGAGGAGAAGAAGAAAAAGGAGGAGGAGCAGGAAAAGAAGAACAAGAAGAAGAAGAAGGAAAAGAAGGAGGAGAAGAAGAAGAAGAAGGAGGAGAAGAAGAAGGAGGAGGAGGAGGAGAAGAAGAAGAAGAAGAAGAAGAAGAAGAAGAAGAAGAAGAAGAAGAAGAAGAAAGAAGGAGGAGGAGAAGACTGGCATGGAACTCTTAGTCTCATCCTCCCTTGTCAGTGACATTTGGTTTGCCCATGCCTTTAAATGATAATGATCCTAGCCACTGAACTGTAGAAATCCCCCGAAAGTAAAGAAATGTACATGGTTGTGTGGATGCACCAGGGGCCGCGTTAGCGCCGTCGATAGGAGACTCGCTTTCAAATCCAGCTGCGACTCTCTGCAGCCGACGGCCAGTGTTTGAAACCGGGCGGTTCCCGGGGTTTACCCGGCCTCTAGGTAATGGGTACCAGAGAACACTGGGGTAAATGAAGGAGCGTCCCTGTAGCTACAGGGTTTCGTGCGGACGGCTACACATGCGGAGTGTTACTTACTGGTGGCGGAGCATTTATGGTTTAAATCTTTGTGCAATGACGCCAGTTCACATCTCCCGACTTTACTTTTTTTTTTTAACCAGTGAACGTCGTTTTGTACATAAATAAATATTTGTTTATGAGACAACAGGTTCTAGGTCGCAGCCTTGTTATACACAACAGTCTACAGACACCAGACATCGCGTGATTCTGTCTTACATCACCCAGCCCGGCTGTAAATGTGTGTTTCTCTGGTAATCCCCGATAATGACGGCTGTCCACAAATAGCCCACACGTGCATGGCACTTCTCTCTGTACCTACACGAGAATTTTACGGGGTCTGTCAATTTCAAGATTTTTCTAGAACGATTGCACCATGTCTATTTATATCTCTTCTTAAAGATAGTATATTGAAGTGAAAGCTAGTTTGATATTCATTTACCTGGATGCTGCACGCCGATATACATTGTTGACACTGGGCGGATTTGTTTACAGTCGCTGTATTATTCTATGATTCAACCTCGCGTTGGAACTTTCGTCGTTCAGCATCATCTATCACGTGGAACTTTCGTCGTTCAGCAACATCTATCACGTGGAACTAGCACAGACGGATGAATCACTGCTGCTTATTGATAGCTTGAGCCGTGAAATTAGATGCCAGAACAACAGTGAGATGGCTTTTGTAGTTTGTTTATTATTATTATTATTATATCGAATATTTTGGTTAAATAAACTAAAGTGCCACGGCGGATTTAAAAAAAAATAGCAGAAGGCGAAGAAGGATGGACAGGGGCCGACCAGCACGAAGATGGGCGCAGAATAGTGACTCCTTGAAAATGACACCGCACGAGGCGAGAGAGTTGGCAAGAGACACAGTTTCTTTCAGACAGACAGTGATCAGAGCGACGGCTGCTAAGGACCTGCAACATGATGATGATTCATGTACGGAGGAGGTGTCTTACTTGACCATAGTTGGTTATAAGTTTCATGTTCCATGTTCACATTTTATCTCAAACTTTTATTTTGTTACTTGTATGAAACAAACGTAGGCCTAAGTATAAAAAAGTTAGGGTCAAAATTTTCCTAAAAATGATGAATAAACTGTAAATAGATGACTGCACAATAAGTATATGTACATAGATTGCATTTTTATTTCTTATATTTATATACCATTTTTGTTTCATAACGCATTTGAATGAAAATAGTGTTGGAAATATACATTCGACTTGACATTGTAACCAAACTTTGTGTTTTTTTTTCCTAACCTAATATCTCTAGGTCATAGGCAAGCTTGTGCCATATATCCTCTTCATCATCAAGTGCCTGCCTTCTGGTGGGGGGGAGGGGGGGGGGGAGGCATGCCTCGCCACAACCAGTGATTTTCAACAGCAGTTATCAGCACTTGGGCTGACACCTATCCATGCCCTGGAAAAAAAAAGTCTCAACAGCCTTCGCAAACATTCTTCCTCTATCTCTCTTCCCAAGAATCTTTGCAGTCATCACAACATATTCCAGTTTTTTTTTATTCATAACATGGCCAAAAAAGGAATACAGTCTCTTTATGATGCCTGTCTTCAGTTATCTTTTGGCTCTTCTTATTTTCAAAACATCTAGATTACGCATATATAGATATTACTACTATGTATCCAAGTTTGGACCCTAGGGGCCCTATTATTATGAAAGTGGGTTGGGGGGGGGGTGTGTTGGAGTTTAAAAGGAATTGACCCTGCTCTCTAAAAAGTATGTCATAAGAGTTGACTAATTAAGGATGTTTTCTTCTGCGTCAGAGTGCATCTGCTTGAGAACTAAAGAGCCTACACTCTGCATAAAAATAAGTCAGATCTGTAAAACACATTTGCACGTAAAACTCAGGATCTGAAACAAGACTCAGGTCCAGAAGTAGATGAACAGTCAGAACATTCTGTCGGAGTTTACAGCCGGTGAGCGCAAAGATAAAGAAGAAGACTGCTATATACAGATATGAATTCTTAATAATACATTTTAATTATTGCACAGATGAAATGTCAACTAATCTGTTTTGTATATTTTCTTTTCAGTGGGTGGGCCATCTCTCGAGGATGTCACAAATGCAATTTGTCCTGATGACTCACCATACAAATGTTTGCCTTATGGTTCCTGCTTTGCCCCCGACAGTTACTGCGATGAAAAGTCAAAAGCAGTGGAATCATGCTTCCAACATCAGCTGACAACCTTGCAGTCCAAGCTGGCATATTGTCAAGATGTCAGACAAAATACCTCAAAACTGATACATAAATCATGTCTCTTTGCTTGTAAGATTATATCAGAAGGCTGTGACAAATCACATGTTTCTGACAGTAAGTTTTTTTTAAATTTCTTCTTCTTCCACCCTTCACCCTCCAATAGAGCATAGGCCCTCAACAAACTCACACTCTCACCCTGTCCTTCACCATCACATGCCGCTCCCCTCTTGTCTTCTCTGTATTTCTGATTCCACTCTCTGGTTTCATTCTCAATGTATTTGTTTTGGTTGCACTTTGTTCCTGTAACCATTTGCAGAAAGACTTGCATAAAATGGAACAAATGAGAAAAAACACACCCATTCATTGTCATTACCAAAAATCAAAACGCTTATCAAGGGAAAATACAAGGAATTGTGGAGAGAACAAACCAACAGTTAACATCAGCAGACTCGGCAGAAAGCAGCATGCAAAACAATTTTCTATCTAAGAACAGGACACTAGGTTCGATTACCACAGGTATAAAATAGACTGTACAGTCTCCACAGTGTGCAGGACACCTGAGCCCATTCTGCAGCCTGCCCACTCTACCTACAATTTTGAAAAAAAAACTGGGTTCTTAATTTATAACGTACCCCAAACACGAAATCCCCGTGGGAAATCCACAGCTGACCTGACAGGCCATTATTTCAAGGGGTGGAAGTGTGCTGTTGTATGGTGCTTTTTTTGAGTGTTCATCTAGTGTCTTCTAATGCTAACCCTAACCCTAAACTTGGCTGTAGATAAATTGCGAGAAACTACAACCTGAACACCCTAGAATTTATTGGGAATGTCTCCCGTGACGTTGTCGTGACGTCAGGGGTAAGTTATAAATTAAGTACCAAAACCTGGCCCCAAGAGCAAAGTGTGCAGAGCAAGCTATGGAGAACCATGAAAGACCTGCAGCTGATATATGAGTTCATAGAGGCAACCCACCTGTTGGTCTGACCTGAGCATATGAAACCCAACACAAAGAAGAGAGAAGAAGAAGATTTCAAAACCCTTTTGGTTCCAGTGCCAAGATATTCTAGTTATTTTGTGATCAGGTTTTCTCTTTGTGTGCCCTCTCTAACATCATCATCTTTTCCTTGCCTCTTGATTCACTGTATATTATTTGGTTCTTTGCCAAAGCTCTAAATTATTGATTTGTTCTTACCATTTAATTTAATTCATTATATTCTGCACAGCCACCACAGGTTAATGAATGAAGCTTGTTAGCAATTGTTTTAGTTCTCCATGCTTCAGTGTCATACAACAGTACTTGAATCTGAAACTAAATATTTTCATTTTGGTACTAGTACTAGCTAAATTTATTAGGTCACTCAGTCCATAGACTAAGACGTCACAAGACAACACAGCATACCAAGCAAAAGAGCACACCCTGACTCAGCTGTTGATCCAATCATCTGTTGAACTGCAGGGCCTAGCAGCACAAAGCAAATTTGAAACACACACACACACACAAAATGTTCGAAGACTGGTGATAAACTCTTTCTGTATCAATAAACTCACCATACTTTGTTTCTTCCCTTCGGAGATGGCAGCCTAAACGACTGAGACCCAGTGACTAAGAGAGTCACTTCTAGGATGTGCATCTAATGGGAAGATCCCAGAAATACTGTTCAACTACATAAACAGTTCCTTACTTTTTTCAAAAATGACCTTGGCTCCAGGTCGACCCAGCCCTAAATGGGTACCAGGTAAAGTCCTAGGAAATAGAGGCAGCCCGCATGATGACCACATCATCCACAAGGGAAATAGAGGCAGCCCGCATAATGACCACATTATCCATGAGGGAAATAGAGGCAGCCCGCATGATGACCACATGAAGAAATAGAGGCAGCCGGCATGATGACCACATCATCCACGAGGGAAATAGAGGCAGCCCGCATGATGACATATCATCCACGAGGGAAATAGAGGCAGCTCGCTTGATGACACATCATCCACGAGGGAAATAGAGGCAGCCCGCATGATGACCACATCATCCACGAGGGAAATAGAGGCAGCCCGCATGATGACATATCATCCACGAGGGAAATAGAGGCAGCCCGCTTGATGACACATCATCCACGAGGGAAATAGAGGCAGCCCGCATGATGACCACATCATCCACGAGGGAAATAGAGGCAGCCCGCATGATGACCACATCATCCACAAGGGAAATAGAGGCAGCCCGCATGATGACCACATTATCCATGAAGGAAATAGAGGCAGCCCGCATGATGACAAATCATCCATGAAGGAAATAGAGGCAGCCCGCATGATGAGACATCATCCACGAGGGAAATAGAGGCAGCCCGCATGATGACCACATTATTCATGAAGGAAATAGAGGCAGCCCGCATGATGACCACATCATCCACGAGGGAAATAGAGGCAGCCGGCATGATGACCACATCATCCACAAGGGAAATAGAGGCAGCCCGCATGATGAGACATCATCCACGAGGGAAATAGAGGCAGCCCGCATGATTGACCACATCATCCACGAGGGAAATAGAGGCAGCCTGCATGATGAACTCATTATCCATGAAGGAAATAGAGGCAGCCTGCATGATGAACTCATTATCCATGAAGGAAATAGAGGCAGCCTGCATGATGAACTCATTATCCATGAAGGAAATAGAGGCAGCCTGCATGATGACCACATTATCCATGAAGGAAATATAGGCAGCCCGCATGATGACCTATTATCCACGAGGGAAATAAAGGCAGCCGGCATGATGACACATCATCCACGAGTTCTGATTTGTCTATGAATAAAGGTGTAGCACTCTGTTTACCTGAAGTCGTGGAAAAGGGTCCTTTACTTTATTCAGTCTGTGTCAGTTGCTTGTTGGTGCTTACTTTTGTTATCTACTTTGGCCTGCCTGACTGTTGATGGTAAATATTATGTTGTACTAACCACATCCTGTTCAACCGTAGTTCATCTTATCATTCTACAGGCTCTGAGGATGTTCTCATATGGAAAATTATTGCAGTTGCTGCATCCTGTCTATGTATTTTCCTGATCTTGCTTGGCTTGTATTTTTACCACTACAAAATCAAAAAGTGGAGGAAGATGTACTATCAAGTGATCTCCAAGCGTAATGATACCATAGCAGGTACAACATATTTTAACAGCTAATTCAGTCTATATTGTTTACAGGGGTACGCTCATAATCATATGCAAATAAAAGAAGAAGAAGAAAAAGAATAATCACATGCAAGACAGATTCAGCCTTAACTGTTGACAAAGATATGTACACTGGTACCACATACAGTTTTCTGTGACAGAAGGAGTTTAGTCAAATCTAACTTGTATCTCTGACATAACATCATAACTTGTAACATCACATATATCTCTAACTGAAAGCTAAACTTACAAATGTCTCTTACTGAACTAATATATATAACTCTGAATGAAGTGTAAATTGAAGATAGCTCTATTATAAATCTAACATTAGATTTCTCTGACTATAGTTGAATCTAACATGTATCTCTGATTAAATCTAACATCCCATATATCTCTAATTGAAAGCTGAACTTACAAATGTCTCTGGCTGAAAGTTAAACTAATATATAAGTATGACAAAGTGTAAATTGAAGATAGCTCTGTCTTAAATTTAAACTTAAATTTCTCTGACAGAATTATAAAATTACAGACATCTGTGGCTGAAATATAAACAGGTGTCTCAAGCTTATAGACTAATAGAAATTTAGCATTAAATATTCTTTTTTTTTTTTTTGTAAGTATGTTGTAAAATGTCGCAGAGAGGAGTTAGTTTCCAGTCATTTGTTAGTTGCGTAGCTTGTATAAATGTCATTTTGCATTTCTGTAATGTCTCTTTTACTCCCTCCACCCATCTCTTTCTTGGCAGCCTGTTGTTCTCATCTAGTAAGCTCTAGCCAAGACCGTCTCCATCTGAAAGGCTATGCTGCTGACGTCCCCAAACTTTAATGTATCGTTAGCCCAGTTTGATGATGTCGGCAGCATGTCCCGTCAGATGGAGATGGTCTTGCTCTAGCAGCTGGCTGATTTTGTTCCATTCTGACCAAGTGACCAAACCATTTGATTCTCTGATTTTGTTTGAAAATCATTTATCGGTACCGTGTCTTCTATTTTTCTTAGTTCTTCATTTGTGACTCTGTCTCTTCTTGTTTTCTTTCATTTCTGATCTCACATGTTGTAAAAATATAATCGAGCACAAAATATTTAAAACAAAGCCAGCAGACATCTCCTACTTACTTTAAAGCTAACAGTCAACTACTGAATTATTTCAGATGGTGGAGAGGAATCTGAAGGACTTGACTTGGGTGTCCAGCCTCGTAATTCATCTGATGAAAGAGTGAATTTGCTGCAAGCAGTGGTCACTGATGTAGATGTAGGTGGAGTTACACTTCCTGAAAATCAGATACAAAGTCAACAACCACATCAGACTCAACAAGATCTGTTGGAAAACTCACAAGACAGTCCTCATTTGCAGCAACCATATTTGAACAACAGAGTTTCTGGTGAAATTCCTCCAAGTTATTCTTCAGGAAATGCCTCAAGTGTATCATCACCATCATCATCTTCAGTTTCATCTGTCGGAACAAATGATGATAGCGGAATAAGTCCTGGAAGGGAATGTCCTTTCGAGTGTGTGAATTTAGACCGGCAGTCATCTCAGACTCAAGTGTTGACAATTGAGAGTTCTGGCTCCAGTCAGCAATCCCAGAGTGAGTGTAGAGCAGGTTTACCCTACGTCACAAGCACATCCATTCCAGAAGGAAAGAGCACACTTGTGACAAGTGCCAGTGAGTACAGAGAATAAATGTCAGCAAAACATCAGCCACCAAGTGCCGACTGGTGTATAAAAAAAAAAGAGTTGGCACCATGTGCACTGCAGGTCTCAGATCATAAAAATCTGTAAGTGGATTCTGTGGCCTCATTATGTGTAGAACAAGTATAGATGCACTGCCTCCCCAACAGGCATATTGTAAGGGCTAACTGAGGGCTTCCTACAAAGTTGGAGTGCATCTACCTGAGAGGCAAGGAGCCAACATTTTGCATACAAATAAGTTAGATCTGTAAAAGAAGAAGAAGAAGATCAAAGAAAATGGCCGTTTTTTTTTTTTTTTTTTTTACAAAGTCTTCTGCCAAGCCATTGGTCACATGTCCAGATCCTCAATTAAGTGAATTTTAAACAAAAAACTGGAATCTCTTCCAACCCAGTATAAAAATTAGTCATTATAAGCAGTCGGCATGACCTTGACCACATCACACTTCAAGTTGTGCTTGATCTTCAGAAGTATGGCACTAGGATCATATACTATTAAGGTCATAAGTCAAGGGCATGGAAGAGAATTTTCACTTTTACCATGTCTGCTTGCCCGCCAAATCTTACAACCGTAATTCGAGATTGGTGTGAAAGGGGGTTTATGTATGTTAACACATATATTGTTTTAATGAGAAAAATGTTTACTCATATGCTCACTTGAGAAAGCATATTTGTATTTTAATTCTTGATGTATGGTTTATTTCATTCTGTATTCACACTGAAATGACTTTCTCGAACATGTACATCTCTTTATTTTCATTTTCTTTGTTATTGTATTAACAGTTTCTTGTTCTACATCTGGTAGTCTGGTAGTCTTAGTTTCAGCTTCATAGCAAACGGGTCGCCCCATCTTTGCTCCGCTCCTGTGCCAGCGAAAAACACCCAGAATGTTTATCACAGTCCCTTGTGGAAAGATTGACAGACTGCTGTCTCAGCATATCTAGCATACACTCGCATTAACGCATAAAATTGTTCTTGTTCTACATATCTTATTCATTGTTTTTTAATTATGTCCTTTGATTAGAATCTATCTTTGTCACATACATGTTGTGGAAAATATGCTTCTTTGTTGGGTTTTTTTAAATTTAATTAATTTTTTGTTGTAAATTTTATAAACTGTATTCTTGTTCTATGTTTTTTTAATTATATGCTCTCTGATTATAATCTATCTTTGTCTCATACATGTTTGTGTTGAATTTTTTTTATTTTATTGATTTATTTTTGTTGTTGTTTTAAATTTTATAATAATCCACCCTCTTCTCTCACATAATATTTGTAGTGAATCTTTGTCTTTGTTGCTTTTTTTTTTTTTACATTTTATAAATTGTATCTTTTTCTATGTAAGCTGTAAATCATGACACGTATGATAGAGTTCATACATATTCAGTGGTCATACAATTGTGTTATCACAACAGATTTTACAAGGGCCATGTCATATACATAGCAAACATTGTTTTTAAAATACGGACCAATTACACATTTATCTTTCATTGTTTTTTTTTAATGGCAGCACAGTCTGTCTTTCTATTTTATTTCTTCTCATTTACAGTTTTATTTTCTGCACTTTCTCCAACTACTTCATCTAGTTGTTTTAGATGTTATAAATTGTATTCTCCCCTTTTACCTCCTCTGTTTGGTCATGTTTACTGTTTGGTGTTTTCCACAGATTTTCACCCCTATATACCTCTTTGCATTTCCAGCATATGTTCATTTTCTGTTGAACAATCTATTCTTGAACGCCAGTACATTACAGATCATGTTGAAAATATTGTCAATTTGTATATTTTGTAAATTTATGAACAAATATATTTATAGTGCAGTCTGTATTTCCAGTATTCATATATCGTTTTAATTTGTACTTCTGTTTATAATGTGCAATTGAAATCTTAAATTTAGTTGCACATTTGCTACTTTTTTTTTCTTTTTGATTCTTTAGTTAAAATGAAACTATTCAGTCACTGTTGAATGGTGTCATTTTCTATTTGTTTGCTTAACGTGCATGTTGTAGTAATTTGTGCTATCTGTAGGCGGTGTCTACTTTTAATTGTATATACTCAGTTTATTTTTTATTGCTATATGTTTCTTTTAATGTGTATTATAAATTTACAGTAAAAACCAAAATTTGTTTTTATCTTAAAAGAAACTTCTCCTTACCAGGGACTAATTCATCCCTAATATATCCCTCCTGGGTCTAAAATTGTGTTTATGTTAACTGAATGTTCTTCATAAGTGAGTTAATTGAGTGTTTACCATAAGTGATTTCATGTTAACTGAGTGTTCTTCATAAGTGAGTTCATGTTAACTGAATGTTCTTTCTAAGGGAGTTTGTGTTAACTGAATGTTCTTCATAAGTGAGTGTGTTAACTGGGTATTATTCATAAATGAGTTTGTATTAACTGAATGTTCTTCATGAGTGAGTTCATGTTAACTGAGTGTTCTTCATAAGTGAATTCATGTTAAAAAAACATAAATGCAAAATTACAACTTTGAGATGGGATTATAAGAGATGCCACGGGAAATACAAGAATAGACTGAATCACCACAGAAGAAATCAGAAAAATAATAGTGTACCGGTGAATTATTTCATAAAACATCTCGGAGACATTCTCAGGAGGAGATCAGAGTGCTTAGGTCATGCCCGATGTGCAGTGAGGATGATCTTTAAATAAACAATGAACAAAGAACTAAATAGTTGGTCATCTTCTCAGAATTAAACAAAATCAGCCAGAGTGTACTTCATGAGAACAGCAGTCCAAAAGGTAAGAGGTTGACCAAGAAAGATATGGGTGGAGGGGGTAAAAGAGACTCTACAGAAATGCAGTATGACATGAACACAGCTAGCAAGGATAGGAAACATAACTCCTCTCTGTGACACTTTGCAGCATAAGCAGTAGGACAAAAGAAGAGGTTAGTTCACAATTGTAAAATGTTCAATCAATTTGAAAAACAATTCTGAACTAGAAAGATGAAAATTGAATAAGCTTTGTTAGTTTGTACATCAAAAATTGCTGAACAAAATTGCTTAATCTCTTATTTATTACATTTAATATATTTATTTATTGAAACTGTCAGAACACAAACAATATACTGCGATGTCAATTGCCTGGCCAATTTGGCGTTACTACAGATTATTGAAGCAGGAAATTGTGCAATAAATTCTCTGTGCTCTTATTTAAAATCACAGTTAGAAACAACTGGAACACTTCCCATCCAGGCAACAAACATGAAGACCCAGTCAACCCACTCAGAAGAAACAAACAGACCATTATATTTAGACTGTGTGCCCAATACAACAAACTGTGCAGCCATATGTACAAGAAATTCAAGACTGGGGATTCACAACGTTTCCCGTGTGGACAGGCACGACAGAACACTGAACATGTACTACAGACATAAACTCTCTACACGCAGTAGAGTGATCCCAGGTTTGGTCGATTAGCATTCTGATGGAAACCAACCTTGAAGACGTACATCGCACAACAAACTCCATAGAGGCCTGTGTATGGACTTCTCATCTTACGAGAAAAATACAAAGAAGATGAAGAAAATCACCACAGGAAAACAATGTTTTGAATATTTTTACTTCTTCATTTCTGTAGTTTTTATTGTGGTTGCTGCACTGCATGTCCCAGAACACAAGTTGAACCTGTAAATATTTGTTGTTTGGTTGAAATATTTTGCAAAGAGTCCTGTTGATGTTGCCATTGGTTTGTGATAGAACTGTACTGTGTTATGTGCACATGATAATGTCTGGAGACCAAAACTGTGATAGAACTGTACTGTGTTATGTGCACATGATAATGTCTGGAAACCAAAACTGTGATAGAACTGTACTGTGTTATGTGCACATGATAATGTCTGGAGACTAAAACTGTGATAGAACTGTACTGTGTTATGTGCACATGATAATGTCTGGAGACTAAAACTGTGATAGAACTGTACTGTGTTATGTTCACATGATAATGTCTGGAAACCACAACTGTGGCTCGGCGCCACAAATGAAATACTTATATATGCAAGGATTCTGCTGTTATGTGTATTTCATTGGTTGGAAACCATATCTGTCTCTTCTTCTTTTTCGTCACTTCCTCCTGTACTGTTTTGGGTGTTGAGAGAGATATGTTTTGCTTCTTGCTGTTTTGGTTGCCTTGACCATGGACTGTTGAAGAGTTTCTCTGATGTTATCTTTCCATATTATTTTTGGTCTGTCTCATGCTCTATATTCCTCTCCATTTTTGGTGTTTGTAGGATACGGCATCACAAAGCATTCTCTCTCTCGGTAGGCAATTGTATTTGATTTTGTTTCACAGATGTACAAAAATGTATCTGTGATAGGCTCCCTGCTGGGTTTTTAATGGCCCTTTCTTTTAATTGTCGGGGGGGGGGGGGGGGGGGGGTAGACCCACTGCTACTTAAGGATCATGTCGTAAAGCCAAGTAATTAAGTATTTGATAAAATCAGATGTTTAGCCAAAAGGTGCAGATATCACAGGCTAGTTGTACACCACAATATGCCCTGCACCCCCCGCCCCCCTAAAATGGTGAATACAGATGGAGGAGGAAAAAAATCTGTGATGGTCACATATTAGTAGTATTAAACCAGTAATATTCTATTCAAACTTTCTGAACTATAATTGTGATTATAGACAAAATAATTTTAATATAGAAGATGTTTAGATTTTTCTTATTTAAATTCATTTTAGCGATTTTATACTGTATTGATTATGTAAATTTGGTCATCAGCATCAATTAGCTAATTGAATTTCGTGTTCAGTCATGCTTCTTCACATTATGCAACAAGCCAGTTCATCAAGAGGCATTATTTACGACGGGGTAAATACAATGGTGGTTTCCTCTTGACTTTCGCAGAACGGTGTACATTTTAACTCCAGCAACCTTTGTCTACACAGGCAGCAGGGGAGGGGTTACACATGGATTGCTAATTGTTCTCTTTAGTCAAACTAGGGGTATGCATCATTTTTCTGGTAGCTTGGG